TTTGCTGTACCAAGAGCTCAAGCTCATCTTGTTTATTTCCCATGCTTAGCACATTAGTGTACAGACATTGAAGTCCATTAATCATTCGCCCGTGTCTCTTATTTAAGGATTTTTTCCTCCCACCACTAGGTCTGCGTGCTGTTTGCTCCATTTGGTCTATGACATTTGGGTGATCATCTTCATCAATTGATAGACTCCTACCTTCAGGAGCACTCTCTCCCCCCCCCCCCACATTAGTCATTTTAAAGCCCTCCTGATGAGGTTTCTGAGATTTTTGGCAAAAACATTCCTCCCAACCGTTGTGAGGTGCAGCCCATCACTTGCCAGAAGTCCATCTTCAAGAAACTGCAGTCCGTGATCTAAGAATCCAAACCGTTCCTGCTTACACCATTTGCAAAGCCAGCTGTTCACTTCCACTATTTTTCCCCCTCTCCCTGGGCCACGTCGTTCAACTGGGAGGACAGATGAGATGACAATTTGTGCATTTAATTGCTTCAATTTCCTGCCCAGAGCCTCGTAGTCTCTTTTGATCTTCTGGAGGCTATTGCTTGCAGTGTCATTGGTTCCCACATGAACCAAGAGGAAGGGGTATTTGTCAGTGGGTTTTATGATTCCTTGCAGTCGTTCAGTTACATCTTGGATCTTAGCCCCGGGGAGACAGCACACTTCCCGAGACATCTTGTCAGGCCCACAGATCACTGCTTCTGTTCCCTTCAGTAGGAAATCCCCTATTACCACTAGGGGATAGAGCCCTGCAAGCTCTGATAAGCTCCTCCCACAGCTAATCACCTGCCACAACAGAAACCCTGCCCTCTCTGACCTTTGCACAGGGAGAGCAGCTAATCAGCCACAAAGAAACACACACACAAGAAAACCCTTTTTGCTCCTTCTTCAGCTGCTGCCCTGCAAGCTTGTGTGCAAGCAGGAGGGGGTGGGGATCCCTCAGCTGCAGTCCAGAAGATCTCAGTTTCACCCTTTGCATTAGTGCAGGCATGTTCACGTCATCAAATCATGCCTCAGTTGTCATGCTATCTGTTGCTGCTGCTGCATGTTGTATTCCCCATCATCTGGGGCAACAGGTTGACAAAGGCTGCTGTAGAGTCTCAGGAGTTGAAGCAGCCCAGGAAAGGAGATGCCAAATAATAATGGAGAGCTTGTTTCTTTGAAGCTTGGCCACAGTCACAGTTCTTTTCTGTCTCCTCAACACCGAAGTGTAAATGTACATTTAGTAGCAACCCCTTAAGCTTTGATGAATGACTCATTACACTGCTAGCAACTCTCCTAAGAAGAGGCTTCATCACATATTCATACGCTTCATCACATATTCATACGCTGTCCTTCCCTTTTCCAGAGAATTGGCAAACACAAGCTGGGGTTCAATCATGGTTATAAAGCAGTTGTGTCTGTCATAATGTGTACACAAGTATGCACGCTACAGTCAAGGCAGCACCTGTGGCCCCTGTACCAGCATGGAAAGAACCTGGCCATGACATTCACCTACGCCATTCTTCCACAAGTTCATGGAAGACTTACAAATGTCCATCATGAGTCACTAGGTGTTCTGCATCTTCACTAACCATAAGTTTCTAGCGGCCCACCCACTAGCCCTCAAGGATGCTAATTAAATCTAGCCACTCTGTTCTTCCCATAGTCCAGTGTGGGAAGCTTGCACCCCTCAAACCCCTCCCCTCCCCCCTCATCTGCCTTTATCTAAGTTTGATTGCTTTTTCTTGTTTTTGTCCTCAGTCTTGGTAAAAAATGGAAGTAAAGCTAAACATCCTTCTGGCAATACATTTCTTCATCCTTCTGTACCTTGAGGCAGGTAAGTCCAAGGCAAAATAACAAAACACTCTAGAGGGGAATTACTAGGAGAGAGCTATTGGGAATTGCTTAATTTATGTAGTTCATCCAATTCTGGGAATTCTGAGATGTCAGTTGCAAAAGGGAAAAGTCTCAGTACAAGTATCTGAAATGAACAATGCTTTCCAGAGATGGAAAGAAGATAAAGTCCTGACCAGAGAAGAATGGCAGATTAAGTTGATGGATTATGCCGAAATGGCAAAAATGACCTGAAGAATCAGAAATCAGGAAAACCAAAACTTTAATAAAGAAAGGGGGAAATTTATAATTTATCTTAAAAACCATTGTAAACAGTTAAAATTGTTCATAAGATTAGTATAACACATGTAGTTTAATGGTAAATTTTGGATATAATGGAGGTGTAAAAGATTTGGGTTATTATAAAAGATGCAGGAGGAAACGATTAACAATAGGACCCACAAAGGGGAGGAGGGAAATCCAGGAGATTCTATGGAATCTTGTCTTTATGTTGTATGTTGGATATGTGATTGTAAAACTGTAATTTGAAAAAACAAAATATTTTTTTTTAAAAAAATGAAATGAATTGTGCTGTGTAGTAGTTCTGGGTGTAAAACAGATAGCTGTATTATATACGGAGTGACTGCTTTTGTGAAGCAGCTAACACTGTGTGCAGTGATTTATATGAAACTGATGTCTGTGCATGAGTTTGTTTCTGGGGATCAGATTGCACGTCAAGGTGCATTGCAAATATACCATAATCATAAGATATGCCTTGAGCATTTGTTCCTGAAATGTCTGGTTTCTGTTCATGAAGTGTATGCACTGAAAAGGATTCAGCATACTTTATGACTGACTCAGCAGGCTTTACAGACCCAGCCAGTTTAAGTATTGTCCAAGCAACGTCACCCAGTTACTTTGTATATCTCATTCTGCATATTCTTCCAGGCAGGACTACTTTGCCCCGGGGGTGCAGGGGCTCCGGTGGGGCATCATCTCCCTGCAGAGCTCCCGCAAGATCTCACAGGACTGAGATTATTCCATGGGATCTCGCAGAGTGGGGAAGGGCCATGAGCCTTTAAAAGGCCTTGGCCCTGAGAGGTCAGGACCAGTTTGCCCTGTAAGCTGCCCACCCACCCTTGGTGTTGGAACCTCACTGAGATACTTTGGGTGGCTTCTTGACAGATCCAGACGGAAGTTGCACCCTCTCAGCTCTCACCTGGGCTCATCCCCCTCTTCTCACACCCTCTCGCCCTGTGAGAACTTCCCTTACTCGCATCTCACACCGAGTCTTCAAATTGCCCTTCCCCTTCATCTGTGTACAGTTCTTACCAAAATACAATGAGAGAGAATCATAATATAATAATGAAAATAAACTACCAAGGGAGAGGGGATGCAGGTGGTGCTGAGGATTAAACCACAGAGCCTAGGACTTGCTGATCAGAAGGTCGGCGGTTCGAATCCCCGCGACGGGGTGAGCTCCCGTTGCTCGGTCCCTGCTCCTGCCAACCTAGCAGTTCGAAAGCACGTCAAAGTGCAAGTAGATAAATAGGTACTGCTCCGGCGGGAAGGTAAACAGCATTTCCATGCGCTGCTCTGGTTCGCCAGAAGCGGCTTAGTCATGCTGGCCACATGACCCGGAAACTGTACGCCGGCTCCCTTGGCCAATAAAGTGAGATGAGCGCCACAACCCCAGAGTCGGCCATGATTGGACCTAATGGTCAGGGGTCCCTTTACCTTTACCTTTACCAAGGGAGAGAAAAGGGGAGGGGGCAGAGAGAAAATAGAATAGTAGATTCATCATTTAAAATGTTCTCCCAAACCAATATTTTGAAGTGATCTTTAAAGAAGTGCACAGGTTTCGTGTCAGGGACAGGATTGTGTATGTTGATCCATGTGCATATCAACATATCCATGTAGAACTCTGCTACATGAGCAGGGATTCCGAGCCAATCAGGATCATTGTCGCACCCCCACCCCAGCATAGAGGACCTCTGAACACATACCGTATTTTTCGTCCCATAGGACACTCCGGCCCATAGGATACAGGTCAAGGAACAGCGGGATGGTGGCGCTGCGCCTCCCTGCTGTCCCCTGAGATTGTGGGGCTGCCCGATGTCTGCCCGAAGCATGGGGCGCTCTGCTTCAGCGCACCCCGCACTCCGTGCAGCAGGCTGCTATCCGCAGCCTAGGGAGGCCTACGGGAACTCCCATGGGGCTCCCTAGGCTGTGGATATCTGCCCGGCGGCGAGGCGCTCTGCTCCCCAGGCTTGCTGATAGCTTGCTGAAGCCTGGAGAGCGAGAGGGGTCGCTGCGCACCCAGCGGCGTAGCGTGGGTTGTCAGCACCCGGTGCAAGGCAAGTAATTTGCGCCCCCTAACCCGGGGCAAGGCAAGTAATTTGCGCCCCCTAACCTGGGGCAAGGCAAATAATTTGCGCCCACTAACCTGCCGCCACTGCCAGCTTCTTCTTGCTGCTGCCTGGTCTGGTCTGGTGTGGTTCTCTCCCGCGCTCAGCGCTGCGCTGGGCGGCCGCTGCACTGTCCCTCCCCCAGATAGTCCCTCGCTCTCTCTCCGCACCGCAGGCCTGGCACCCACCCCCTCCACAGTGGGCGGCGACCCAGCGGCTCAGATCGGATTCGCACAGCCAGCACTGCAGTGAGAGAGAGTGAGTGAGCCAGGTAGGGGCAGAGAGCTGCGAGTGCGAGCGCACCCCCGCCAGATGTTGCGCCCGGTGCGGCCGGCACCCCCTGCACCCCCCACGCTACGCCACTGTGCGCACCAACCCCTCTCGCTCTCCAAGCTTCAGCGAAAGCCTGCATTCGCCCCAAAGGACGCACACAGATTTCCCCTTCATTTTTGGAGTGGGAAAAGTGCGTCCTATAGAGCGAAAAATACGGTACCTAACTTGCATTTGGTGATGGCATTTGGTGTGTTCCATATTAATGCATTTCTTTTCAAGCAGGTGTATTGCCAGCAATCTTCCTCTAACCAGACATCGCCCCTGAGTGGTTGGGGCAACCCAGTCAAATGGACAGGGTACAAAGAATGAAATTATAATGTATTATTATTATTATTATTTGTTTATTTGTTTTCTATTCCCCCTTTTTTTGCTCGTCTTGTCCAGCTGGAGTTATCAGGTGCCTTCACTGTGGAGACGTTCAGCATGATAACACCTGTGAGCATAGAGAAAAAACTTGCAAGGCAGGACCTCGGAGATTCTGCTACAGCCGGATGACTGTTACAAGTGAGTCTGGCTGTAAGCATGAGTACTCTTACACTTGCTGCTAAAGTGCTCCAATGCTTCAGCCTTTGGACATCTGATAGCCATTCTTTCCTGCCCTGTACCAGTGAGTCCGAAAGCATGTCAAAGTGCAAGTAGATAAATAGGTACCGCTCCAGCGGGAAGGTAAATGGCGTTTCCATGCTCTGCTCTGGTTCACCAGAAGCGGCTTAGTCATGCTGGCCACATGACCCGGAAGCTGTATGCCGGCTCCCTCGGCCAATAAAGCGAGATGAGCTTTGCAACCCCAGAGTTGGCCACGACTGGACCTAATGGTCAGGGGTCCCTTTACCTTTACTTTTTACCAGTGAGTCTACCTCTGATTCTGCTGGACATAGACTATGCACTTGGGGCTGGGTAGAGTATGGATCAGATGCTCTAAGCAGATGTGATAGACGCCAGTGGCTGAGCTGTAGTGCATCCTCAGTAAGAAGAGTGCAGAGACAAGAGGCAACATGGCGGCAGCAGCAGAGACGGTTGTACCGCAACTATACTCCAGCTTTTCAGGAATTGGTTAGCTGAGATTCCTGCATAACAGGGGGTTGGACTAGATTATCCTTTACGGTCCATTCCATCTCTACGATTCTCTAGAATTCTATGATTCTAGGTTCACTGCTCTAGATATACACAGGATGAAAGAGTAAGAGTTTGGGTGGCAATGTACTTCTGTTATAGAAATGTTAAAATGAACCTTGCTAAAAACATTTTCACCGTAAGAAAATGTCACATTTGTAAGTACCAAGCTCATCTTTTCCAAAATCCATGGCATATAAAGAATGGTGTCTTGCTTTGTTCCCTAGTAAGAGAAGCAACAGCATGCTAGCCTTATATATACAGCTGGAGGCTAAATTCTGCTGTTAGTGGAGGCTACTTTATGTTATTATAGTTCAGGCAAGTAGTAAAACCATCTATATAAAGCACAACATTCTACAGCTTATGGCACCACTGAGCCTCTTGGGCTTGCTGATCGGAAAGTCGGCGGTTCGAATCCCCGTGACAGGATGAGCTCCCGTTGGTCTGTCCCAGCTCCAGCCAACCTAGCAGTTTGAAAGCACACCAGTGCAAGTAGATAAATAGGTCCTGCTGTGGCGGGTAGGTAAACAGCATTTCTCTGTGCTCTGGCTTCCATCACGGTGTTCCGTTGCAGAAAAAGTGGTTTAGTCATGCTGGCCACATGACCTAGAAAGCTGTCTGCAAATAAACGCTGGCTCTCTTGGCCTGAAAGCTAGATGAGTGCCGCAACCCCGTAGTCACCTTTGACTGGACTTAACTGTCCAGGGCTCCTTTTACCTTACAGCTTATAAAAGTGAAATCCATCAGGCTAATAGCATGAAACTTGCCATACAAGTTTCCTTTATAATAATAAAATGGTGGTGGTGGTGGTGATGGAAACCATTTGCTTATCATGGAGCTTGGATATATTTTTCTCTTTCTTACTATCCCTTTCCAGATGGTGCTGTGATGCGAATGGACCGGGGCTGCACCAATGTATGCCGTAGGGTGAAGTTTCAGGACAAGTTATCCAGGGAAGATATGTGGTGTTGTAAGAAAGACCTTTGTAACCTTCACAATTTGTGGACCTTTAGATACTAAGGATGAATTTGTGAGATCAGAGGAATGTTTGCCTTACCTGATCCTGTTAATAAGGGTATTTTCATATGAGCACTCCTCAAGTGTTGGAAAGAACCTCTCTGTTGATGTCATTCTCTTGCTCATGCAGGGGTGGGGAAACTCAGGTCCAGGAAGCAAATACAGCCCTTCAAGACTCTTTATCCAGCCCTTGAGATTCTTCCAGACAATGGACCCCTTCTAACCCAGACCACACCCCTTCTTCTGAGGTCCCACCCTCCTCTGTTCCTCTTCCATACTCTCAATTGGAGCTTTTGCTAGGCTGGAATGTGTCCTCACCATCTAATAATGCCTCTTGCTTGCCTGGATGAAGAGAAGTGTATGCGACCTCCCACTTTTTGTCAACTCCACTTTATTTATTGTGTTTCTGTCTCAAGTTCCTTCCAAGTACCCCCTTCCATTGATTAATATTAATTTGGTATTTGCAACATTTTATTCCACCTTTCCCAAACTCACAGCCTCTTACATGAAATAATCGGCCACTTGCAGAGAGCAAAATAACTGCTGGAATTATATGGAGAAGCATCAGGCAAGACGGAGACAAGCAATAGTTTTAAAGTGAGGTAGCCACCTATAATATGCACCCAAACATGTCCCACTGTCAGCTCTGATCTTTGGGGGGGGGGGGATACTGAGAATTTGAGGCTCTTCAAATATATCCTGATGTGTTCATGGAATCATTGAGCTAAAAGAAACTGCAAGTGCATTTTCTAAATGTATTTATCATAAATGCATATTGTTCACCCAAAGGAAAACTAATACAACATATGGATCTCCCTCCCTAGAGAAGGTCGACTGGCTGTCTCCTTGCTGTCCTCCTGCCGGCAGGGGAAGAATTTCTTGCTGTAACTGTTGGAAAACTAGCCCCCTCGGGAGAGGCTGGCCCCTCTCCCAGGCTCCAGGGGCCTGTTTGCCGGTGATCTACCCTGGCTGGCATCCCAGCAGTCCAGGCAGATCTTGATAGGCGACACCTCCCTGGGTGAAAGGTGCACACACCCTTCTTCCTTGCATACCAGCAGGAGAAAGAAGATAGTCAGAAAGTCTATTTCATCTCTAGTTTATTTCTGACTGTACAACTGTACAAAAACATGTCTGCTCGCTCAGTCTCCTCCGAGCAACTCACTGAGACTTCCTTCACACAAGCAACAGGAAGGTCTCATGTTACACAAAGAACAAATCCCTGTGAATTCCCTGGAACTTCCTGTCCCACAGTCAGCTCCATCATGTGATGTAAACATCCAGCTGCTTATTCGCAGCTGCGTAGTACTCATATCCCAACAGTAACAGGCTTTTGAGAATTGACAGCTTTTAATAAAGGGCTGGTGCAGAGCAGATTTTATTGTAATTACTGGTATGTTTTAAACAGATTTCATATCTGTATATAGTTAATTCTATCAATGTTTAATTGTATTTTAATGATTGGTTTTTCTGCCTTTTTAGCAGTTTGTGTTTTTATCAGTAAGCCACCATGAGTCCCATCAAGGGAAAGGCAGGGTACAAAAATATTATTACTATTACTATTCATATTCATATTAATAATAATGCTGAAAATAATTATTATACTGAAATAATAATAATAATAATAATAATAATAATAATAATAATAATATATTTATACCCTGCCCATCTGGCCGGGCCTCCCCAGCCACTCTAGGCGGCTTCCAAGAAAATATTAAAATACAGTAATACATCAAACATTAAAAGCTTCCCTAAACAGGGCTGCCTTCAGATATCTTCTGAAAGTCTGGTAGTTGTTGTTCTCTTTGACATCTGGTGGGAGGGCATTCCACAGGGTGGGTGCCACTACCGAGAAGGCCCTCTAATGTTTTCAGTGCCCCTAAATGCTTACGTTTGGTGCACACAGTGACTATAAAGTTTCCATTTCATGCTGATTGGACAGCTCTAGGACACTGGAGAAGGGACCCATCAGGGACTCTGTTGAAAAAAAAGTAACTGGCCTTTGAGCCGCTATGACTCTGGCAACTACACCTCCCCATGTCTCCCCAAAACAGTACTTCAATCTTGTTAGGATTCAACCTCAATCAGTTAGCCACCATCCATCTTCCAACTGCCTCTGGACACTCACACAGGACATTCATTGCCTTCACTGGTTCTGATTTAAAAGAGAGGTAGAGCTGGGTATCATCCGCATATTGATGAACACCCAGCCCAAACCCCCTGATGATCTCTCCCAGTGGCTTCATGTAGATGTTAAAAAGCATGGGGGAGAGAATGGAACCCTGAGGCACCCCACAAGTGAGAGCCCAGAGGTCTGAACGCTCATCCCCCAACACCACTTTCTGGACACGGCCCAGGAGGAAGGAGTGGAACCACTATATAACAGTACCCCCAGCTCCCAACTCCTCTAGACAGTCCAGAAGTATGTCATGATCAATGGTGTCAAAAGCCACTGAGACCAAGAAACAGCTTTCACCTTTGTCCCTAACCTGCTGGAGATCATCGACCAGTGCAACAAAGCCAGTTTCAGTCCCATGATGCGGCCTGAATCCCGATTGGAAGGGATCCAAATGGCCTGCATCTTCCAGCCGTGCCTGGTGTTGATCAGCTTCTGGCATTTACCGGTAATTTGAAGGTATTGCATATCTGTAGCATCTTTTAGTGGGCCAGGATCTATAAGAGCTGTCTTTTATTTGTATAGATGTGTTTTTCATATTTTTACTGGCTGTCTTTGTTGCAATTGGTGTTTGTGTCTATATTGTCTTTGAAAGTCACTTTGAGTCACTGTTATGAGGTAAATGACTAGAAGAAGATGACAAGAACATCCATCAAGTTGTGTATCTAATCCAGACTTTTCCTCTAATTCAGTGTTAATGAAAATCTGGACAGGATCTTATGATTTCCATATACCAATGTGCTTGTTTTTAACCTCTCTAGGGAATGCGTTTTCTTCCACAAGAAGATGCACTAGGCCAGGTGATAAGTGCGATATCCGAGAAGTCACACCAGATATAGAAATTCTGGAAACTGTTTGCTGTAAGCAATCTAACTTTTGTTTACGTGATCCTTCAAAGGGAAATAAGTAAGATAGAGCTACTACAGAGCGCTTGCCATCACCTAATCCTCATATCCTCACTGTGCCACGCTGCTGAAATAGCTTCTTCAAGTGTTGCTTGATGTTTTCTTTTATTGACAATAAAATGTCCCATGCTGGCTTCTGAAGCAGACTGTTAATAAACTGACTACTCTAGCAGATTTTGTGTTAAACTGAGACATTTTATAGGCTGTTCACTCTCATGTTGTCTCTGGTTCTAATATTCATAGTTGTGGCTCAAAGTTATTAGATTATTCAGCAACAGTTATTTGGGCAAGGAGAAGACATGATGGCACCAACTCTGTATGTATGGTGTGGATCAGCCCAAAGTTGTTCAGAGAGAAATAGGACAACTCTTGTGTGCTCTGCACCATCCCTAGCCAGCCAAGCAAAGTCACTTTCGCCAAGCCACGCTCAGATCTTGTAAGTAGTCCGCAAGATCTTGCCAGAACCTGGAAGGCGCAACTGCTTCTCCTTGCTTCTCTGACGCTGGGGGGGGGGCTGGTGGTAGAAGGGAGGAGAAGTGACAACAGTGGCAAGATCTTGTGAGAATTCCACAAGATGTTGCGAGATCTGTGTGAGATCTCATCAGATCTCGCAGCTGCCACCACTGCCCCTCACTTCTCTAGCGGTGGCAGGAGTCACAAGTCTCTTTTGCCGCAAAATGGTAACAACAAATACATAGAATGCTGCTGTAGTAAATTACATACAAATCTTTCGATTATTCAGCAGCAGTAACAGTTATCCTTAAGTATGGTGCAGATCAGTCCAAAGATGTTCAAAGTGAAATAGCCCCGGTTCTATCACAGAGCAATGAACCTTCCCTCTGGCTGGAGTTGGATGGAGGAATGAGCAGATCCACAGGTAAGCCAGCCAGGGGGAGTTCATTGCAGGCCAGTGACTGAAAGTCACTCCAAAGGGAAGCCAGAATGAGGCTGCAAGAATCCAATAAGCAGAAGAATTGACAAAGGGATGGGAAAGTCTGCAAACTAGGAGCACAGCTTGTGGGAGGGAGGGGAAAGAGACACAGGGTGGCTTAATAGGCAGGGAATCCCAGATAAAGAATAGGAGTCACAAACTCAAAAAGAGTGTTGGCTTGCTGGCCTAGAAGTAATTTGCAGCAGACCAGATCAAGAGAAACCAGTAGGTTGCCTGGGTTGGTGATGCAGTGCTGGGACCCTGGGCAGCAATTCCACCCCTTCTCTTTTCACTGTGCTACCACAAGGGAAACCACTGAACAAATCAGGAAGCTCTTAGTTGGAATCTTGGCAGGTCTGTCTCTCTGGCTCATTCACTAAAATGGGCTCCCAGCTCCAAAGTTCCACTGCAGTTATAGGTAGAGAATGTTCTGCACCCAACTGCAATGATCCACAAAATCTTATCAGCAGGAACAGAATGGAAAAGACAATACAGAACCATTTTCCAAGACTGATCTCATGTTTTGGGAGGGACGGGGAATCTCAACTCAGGGGCTGAATACCCTCCCCCTCCAGTGGGAAACTCCTATGACCCTGGTCCTAGAGGCCACATCCAGTCTGACATCTACACTGACGCAACTTTCCTTCCCCCTGACAGCACTGATTGTTTTGTTTTTTTATGGATTCAAAGGACCATGCAATGAGTGCAACAATAAAATAATTGCTTGATGTTGTTCCGGGGAGGTTTTCAATCAGAGCCAGTGTGGTGTAGTGGTTAAGAGCAGTAGACTTGTAATCTGGGGAACCGGGTTCGTGTCTCCGCTCCTCCACATGCAGCTGCTGGGTGACCTTGGGCTAGTCACACTTCTTTGAAGTCTCTCAGCCCCACTCACCTCACAGAGTGTTTGTTGTGGGGGAGGAAGGGAAGGGAAAGGAGAATGTTAGCCGCTTTGAAACTCCTTCGGGTAGTGATAAAGCGGGATATCAAAATCAAACTCTTCTTCTTCTTCCACAACCCAGGATTTAATTACTCATATCCAGAGAGCACAGAGAGAAATGAAGTGGGTAGAGCAAAGAGACCAGGCAAAGGAGCCTTAGACTGCTGGGAGAGGAGCCTTAGAGCAGGGGTCCCCAAACTAATGCCCGTGGGCTGGATAAGGCCCGAGGGACTTGTTTATCCGGCCAGCGCCAAACCCCATAGCCTGCTGCTGCCGCCCGCT